AGGCACAAAGGCAATGGAGCCAAGTGATGATGCACTAAAAACTCCAAAGACAACAGACAATATAAATATTTCCTCCTTTAAAGTTGATTATCTCAGGTATTTTGTCATAATAATAAAAAGCTAATAAACACAGGAAACTGTCACTCCATCCCAAAAATCAAATACAGAGCTGAAGGAACTAAAAATATAACTCTTCCTGGATCCAAAAGGGAATGGAGGAGAGAGGACACTGCAGTCAGTCTGCGTCATTTTATTAAAGTAGCCTTAATAGAATAACACAGTTTGCCCTCCCCTATGCCCTATCATATTACTAAATGTATTATTTCTTACAGCTCCTTTTATTTGACACGATGTGTTAGGCTGTGAAGAAAGCATTTCTAGGCATATTAAAAACCAAAAACAATTTGAAGTGGCAGAGGATGCATTAGAACCAGACATAGCATTGTCACAGAGCATACTTTTTTTAAAACTCTGATTAAGGCACTAAGGAAGCTAATGGATAGACTACAGACAGCATGCAAGGACAGGAGGGCAAAACAAACTCCAACTTTGTACAGCTACACGAAGTTCACTTAAATACAAACACATTGGTGGGCTCTCACCTGTAATCCTAGCAACTCAGGAGGTAGAGATCAGGAGGATCAAGGTTCAAGGGCAGCCTATGCAAACAGTTCTCGAGACCCTATCTTGAAAATACTCAACACAAAACAGGGCTCACAGAGTGTGACAAATGGTAGAGCACTTGCCTAGCAAGTATGAGGCCCTGAGTTTAAACCCCAGTACTACCAAAAAATAAATGAATAAATACAAACACATATGAATTAAAAGTGAATAGATGGAGAGAAGCAAAGTACATTATATCCACACATATGAATGGAAATATCACAATGAAACAGATGAATGCAATTAATATACACTAATAAAATGTTAATTAGCAAAGTAAATGGAGAAAATATATGTTCCTGACACTAACCAAAAGAAATCAGGGGCTAGGATATAGCTTAGTTGTAGAGCACATGCCTGGAAAGTGACCAGAAAGAGGCATTAGGTGATCAATTATGCAACATGTAACAATTCTGAACATGCATCAAACAACAGATTCTAAAACTATGTGAGATCAAAATTGTTAGACGTACAAGAAAAAGATGAACCCACAAGCACAACTGGAGACTTCAATAATCCACTCTCCAAAGTGAACAGACCTGCCAGCCATATGATCAGTAATGATACAGCTCAACTCAACAACAGGATCGTTCCAGTGCACTTGATTGGGCTCAATAGATCACTGCTTCCAGCAACAAATTACACATTCTTCCCAAGTGCAGGTGGACAACCACAACACAGGCTGCCTTCTCAGCCATAATACACACTTGAACAGATTTAAAGGACTGAAAGCACACAATGTTTGCTTTCAGACCAGAGTGGAACAAACATAAAAGGATAACTGAAAAAACTCCAAAAATGTGGAGATTAAACATATCACAGACTGCAAAAAAGAAAAGAACTCTTACGCGACATTTTTACGTTTCAACTAAATAAAAATGAAAGTACATTAAATGAAAATCTGTAGGATGCAGCAAAAACAGTGCTTAGAGGATAATTGATGGCAGCAATGTGTATAATAGACAAAAACAAGGATCTAGAACCAATAATCTAAGTCACTGCTTAGGAAAGTATGGGAGAAAGAAAAAAATTAATCCAGCAAAAGGAGAAAAATAAGAAGATTTAAAAGTGGTATCAGTGAAATTGAAACAGAAACTCAACAAAGAAAACCAATAATAAAAAATATATTTCCTTAAAAATACCAATAAAGAGCTGGGCATTGGTCGCTCACGCCTGTAATCTTAGCCACTCAGGAGATAGAGATTAGGAGGATCGTCGTTTGAAGCCAGCCTGGGCAAGTAGTTTGCGAGACCCTATCTCAAAGAAATCCTTCATAAAAAAGGACTGGTGGTGGGCTGGGATGTAGCTCGGTGGTACGGCGCTTGCCTAGCACGCGTGAGGCCCTGGGTTCAATCCCAGCACCAAAAAAGAAAAGACAAAAAAAATAAAAATAAAAGGGCTGGTGGAGTGGCTCAAGGTGTAGGCCCTGAATTCAAGCTCCAGTACAGCCAAGAAAAAAAAGAAAAGAAAGAATAAAAATAAAGGAGATGAACATTTTGAATCTCATAAAGACACTCCCTGTGTAGCTATCTTAAAGAAAAATGTCATTCTTTTCCTTTTACAAAATCAGAGAAAAAGAGAACAGGTCCTGTATGAGGGAAATTGGTACTAGTGGGGGACAAAGAGCAAGGGAAGGTGAACATATTGTCAGTTATTCTGTCTCATTTCCTGTAATCCCAGCTATTCAGGAGACAGAGATGGACAGGACCACAGTTTGAGGTGGTACGTGGGGGTGGTGGCATGATCCCAGCTACTTTCAAGGCTGTAGGTAGGAGGATCACAGTCTGAGGCCAGCCTAGCAAAAATGATGAGATCCTATGTGAAAAATACCTAGAGCAAAAATGGCTTGGGAGCATGGTTCAAGTGGCAGAGCACCTGACTAGTAAACAGGAGTCTCTGAGTTAAAGCAGAAATACCACCAAAAACATCAATAAAATCCTTAAGCATATAGTCAGGTTATGAGATAATAAAAAAGAAAGGGCACAAAGTACTAATAACAGAAATGAAAATGGGTTGTCAATACAGATTCTATGAACATTAAAAGAATAACACAGGAATACTCTGAACAACTCTATGTCCACACATTCAATAGGCTAGGTAAAATGGAGCATTTGCTCAAAAGACACAATTTATCCATATTCACAAGTTGGAAACACATAGTGTGAACACATTTCTATTAGTGGAATTGAAGGGTGGTAGAGCACCTGCCTGGCAAGCACAAGGCCCTGAGTCCAAACCCTATCACCACTACACAAAAAAAGAAATCAAAAAACAATGAATAACCTTTCAAAAACAGAAAGTATGAGGTCCAGAGGAGTTCACTAGTAAATACAACCATGCATTACAGAACAAATTCTATCAATTCCCTATAATCTCCTCTAGAGAACAGAAGCATAATCAGTACTTCCTAATTTATTTCGTAATGACAGCATTACCCTAACATCAAAACCAAATAAGGATGGTGGAGTGGCTCAAGTGGTAGAGCACCTGCCTGGCAAGAATGAGGCCCTGAGTTCAAACTCAAGTGCCACCAAAAGAAGAAAAGTTATCCAGAAAACCCTCAATATTTGCAAATCAAATACTATACTTTGAAATAACCTGTGAGTCAAAGAAGTATTCACAAGGGAAATGACAATGTATTTGTGACAAATGTACACATTGCTACCAATGGCTTTATGGAAGATTACAGTGACCACAAGTCCTCTCCAATTCTTCCCTCTTTGGTGGAAATGTCAGCCTTGAACCTTGCCCAGCCTCAGAGGCTTGGTTGGCCAATGAAAAATGGCAAAGGTATCATTTGGGGACTTCAGAGGTAAGGCTGAAAGAAGTCATGTAACTTCACTCATGTCTTGGAACACCAATTTTGGGGGAAGCCAGTCACCAGCAAAGACATCCAAGAACTTGATACAGAACCACATGGAAGTAGGTGTGCTTGTGGATAGCCCCAACAAACCCCAGCAGCACCAGTGTTGGACAACAGTTAGTCGTGTTAAATGCCTCACCTCACTGGGTTTTCAGGTGATCCTCCTCAATTCTTACTTCACTTTATCTGTGCCTGAGATGAGCCAGGTGACAGATACTCCCTAAATCATGGAGCCAGAGGCAGTAACTGTATCTAGTCATCACAATTTGAGCTGGTTTTCTTTTTGGTGGCACTAGGGTTTGAACTCAGGGCCTCATGCTTACTAGGCAGGCACTCTTACTAGCATTTTAAGCCACTAAACCAACACATTTTTTGTGATGGATTTTTTTCAAGATAGGGTTCCATGAAGTATTTGCCCGTGACTGGTTTCGAACAGTCCTCCTGAAGACATGTGCAGTATACCCACCTATTAGATGTTTTTCCCTACTTAAGGCTTCATGAATATTAGTGGCACCTCAAGCATACAATTATACAGAGTGCCTTATGGGAAGGAACATTCAAAATCAGAAATCAGTGATCATCTAGCTGTCAATCAAATCTGCTAATCGTCCTAACCCTACCTGCAGAGACACCCAGGTTTCTCCCACCATCCTGTGTCAAACCACATAAAAGCCAGGGAGATTGCAGACTAAAATGCTCTTGACCTGCATGGCTCTAGCCCTCAGTTTCTCCCTTGATGGCCTCACTTTCACTTTCCACTTTCAATAAGCTTTGCCACACACTCCTTGTCTCTCAGATCAATTCTTTGATTGTGCCCCCAGAGAAGAGACTGATGTAATTAATAGGCCCCAAATGACAACCAGAACCTAATTCAATCAACCTTCCTACCAGTGTCAAAACAGGAAAAGACGTCTGGAGGAACTAAGAGAGCCCAAGTAAATTTTGAAAATGTGAGTCATTTGTTGCCAGAGCACAAACTTCATGCTACTAGTGACCTTCCAGCAGGGACAAAAGACATCATATAGCTGACCACACTGCCCTGAAGCAGACCAGAGACACAATGAAACATCATAACATACACATCACAAGCCATACTGCTCTGTCCAGTTCCTTGGACCTCAAAATTGTGACCATTAAAGAGAAATTCTATTTAAACCAGTAAGTTCTCAAGATAGAACACCTTAAACATCACTAGATTACCACAGCAAGTACCTCAGATTGAAACATGGAGTTTGGAGGCTTAGATTTAACTTTAGGCCCAAAACAAGTAAATACTAAAGCATATTTCACAATTATGTTCTGTCTCAAAATACAACTGTGAATTTAAAATGTTCAGCTAATGAAGTTATCACTTTTTATTCTTAACCAACTATAAACTATAGTTATAGCCCACAAACATAGCCATAGCTGATGCAAACATCCATTTTTTGTAAATAGCTAGCTAAAATAGCAGAAATTAAATGCAGTCTTTAAAGGAGTTTGTAAACATGACAGATCCTTTTAAATTACACACAACTGTATATTTATAAAAAGTACAAATAGTCACTGACAAATTTATATAAACAAGTTAGAAATTATGAAAATTTGTATTTCCTTTTTTTTCCTTTGCATATTTTTTCATTGACCTTTTCTCAAATGTCTTCCACTAACTCCTAAATTCTTTCTTCTAGGGGAGTCCTGAGGATGTCACCATGTGTGCTGTTAAGAGTCACTGTTCTGTACAAACACACTCTTCAGGCTTTTCCAGGAATGACATCTGCAGTTGCCATGTGTATTCATGAGCATGATCAGATCATCTCCTTGTAGGCACTGTTTGCAAACAGTAGGACAAAATGAAAAGAATAAACAAAAGTTGCACAAGTTGACACAGGGTGAGCTTAGACCTGACAGAGAGGGAGGAGTCCAGCAAAAATCCCATTTTTTCAGGGTTGGACCTGAAAAAATGGCTGGAATGGACCTGGAATGGCTCTGATACTGCATGTAAGGAAGTGTGAACTACAGACAGCTAGATCCATCCAGAACCACAGAGTGAGGAGAATGGAGCCTAGGACGGAGCACTTGGTTGAGTTATGTTAAGGAGCAGAAAAAGCAGAAGAATTCAGGGCAACAGAGAAGACATCGTGAGAAAGGATGTGACAGGGACTAACAAAGAAAAACGTCAAGGAGCACATCACAAATAGTAGCTTCCAATATGGCAAATGGCAGTGGATGTGGACTACAAGTTAGATTATTAATGGGCTACTGAACAGCTGAACTAAGACAATACTGAGTGAGTTAAAGGACAAATGAGCAGTGAGAAGATCTTCCAGGAAATTTAACTTTGAACAGTGTGCACACGTACATGAGGGCTGACAGACAGGTACAGAGTCACTGACAACTCAATCCTCCAGATAGTCCAGGTTTTATCCATGAATCAAATATGGCCTTCCAAAAGCTGCCTGGGACCACACTACTTTAGCAACTTCAGAAAAATTTATTAAGAGAGAATTGCATTAACACCAGATAACCATTTCCACTGCAGAACATTAGAACTGCTATTTCCAGGTTGGTTGTGAAGAACTCTACACCATCTATAAAAGCAGATAATGTTTTAGCTTTTGGTGAAGTTTTTATGCCCCATGAAAAGTTAGCATGCTCTCTTCTCAGGTATCATTCAAATCATGTAACAACTGTGACTTCCCCTTATCATGGCATCAGAAAGACCAGAAACAGGGCCAGGCATGGTGGTACACACTTGTAACTCTAAATACTCTGGAGATAGGAAGATTGTGGTTCAAGGCAAACAGAAGCAAAACAATCAGCAAGACCTTATCTCAAAAAACAAGCTGAGTGTATGGAACACATCTATAATCACAGCAACAAAGGAGGTAAAGGTAGGGGAATTATGGTGCCCAAGAAAAAAACACATATCCTTCCTGAAAAATAACTAAAGGAAAAAGGGTGGAGGCATGACTCAAGTGGTAGAGCACAAGTCTAATAAGCACAAGGTGTTCAAACCTCAATACTGTATTCCTTCCCAAAAAAAGTCCAGAGACAAAATTGTACTCAACACAGATGTTGTTAGCACTTAAAACCTGCCTATGGCTAGTGCAGTGGCTCAAGTGGTAGAGCACCTGCCTAGCAAGTGTACAGCCCTGAGTTTAAACCCCAGTACTGACCAAAAAAGAAAAAGGAAAAACCTGCCTACATTTACATGCAAGTCTATCTGATTTATATGCATTACTCTGAAGCTGTTTTACTCATTTCTACAATTCCATTTTTATTTACAGACTTAGCAAAGCTCATAAAATACTATGTAAAACAAAGTGAAGAATAAACAAACAAGTCACTGGAAATTGGTTTATTTTTTTAGACACACATTGTGGAGGCATAGTTGAGAGAAGAGCAGACTTACAAGTCAACAGACATTGTATGGTCCAGATCCTCCTGCTCAAAACTCTACATGTTTTCTGGAAATAACAACAACAAAAAAAAACCTCTCTCAAAGAGAATGGTCCCTTATACAAGAAAAGATTTAAAAAACTCCAATGCAGACATACCTATTAGGGTGAACAAAAGGAAGCCATGTTAGAACTGGACCCCCTCCCTCTTGAAGATGACTTACTGAAGCACAGAGCCCTGAGTTCAAACCCCAGTCCCACTTTAAAAAAAAAAGAGAAGGAATACTTTAAACAAACATGTCTTTGCTAAAAATGCACCTGGGACCCCCAGCACAACAATAAAAATCTTACAAGCCTACTATTCAAAAAAAATGCACCTGGAGGCTGGATGTGGTAGGACATGTCTTCAATCCCAGCTACACAGGAAGCTGAGGTAGGGGGAAGATCATGGTCTTCTAAGAATGAGCTCAGGTTGGGTCTTTTCTGTCAAAGGATTTAAGTAGTAACCACTGCTGCTGCAAATGTTAGTCTCACCAACTCATGTCCCATAGCCTCCTTCATGGACTCTGCTAAACCTGATAAAAGTCACTATTAAGAAAAAAAGGTATTTCCCTAGCCGGCCAAGTTCCTGTTTCCGCTCGATGCCCCTGGTTCCAGAGCTGATAACCTAATGATACTGGACTGTACTGGACTGGATTGTTGTTCCCAGGGTTCATGTTCTGGCACAGTTGGTATTGAAGGTGCCGGACAAAAAGTTAAGAGTGAAAGCAAGTTCACGCCAGTCCAGGAGTTAAGAGTAAAGCAAGCACGAAGTTTATTGAAAGGATAGCAAAGCACCCTAACAAGTGGGACTTAGTGAAAGAGCTAAACCAAAGAATGGCTGGAGTTCATGAGATTAAATAGGGACCTGACTTTAAGCACCTTCTGCCCACTCTACTTTGAAGCTGTAACTATAATTGGTTGTAACTATAATTATCTTCTTGCTGAACCCAACCCTCTGGATGCTTTCCCCATCCTTATCAGACCCGATATTCCAAGATCTCATTAGTCCATCCTGTCCTTGAAACCTGTCATGTACATTTTATGACTACTGCTCATTATTGTGGTGAGACAACCCCTTCCCCTTTTTTGTTTATCTTGTGAACATTTGTTCAACTCGTCCTGGCCTCAGGACCCACTACCCACCTTGTGCAGCTGCATCTTGTGACTTTGGTGAGAGGCTTGTTATTTCTCTGAGAAGCCCGTTGTTTCCCAAACCTCTTTAGATGTCTGCTTTTAAAGTACATCTCTATTCAAAATGGAGTCACCTCTATCATTGCTCCCCTTACACTAAAACAGTTATTGCTTCCCTGAACTTTTAAACTTCGTTGCCAAAGCCCCTCTGCCCAAACTGTCCCCTTTTAAGTAGCCAAACACGTAGACTGTGAACCTGAAACCTGCCCATCCAGGCGAGGGGCAGCATTGCATTAGATAAAACCACAGCGGACTTCCTGCCCAGTCTGTGCTTGCTTCCCAGATTCTTTGCAGGGTCCACACCCTTCTGCAGAAGGAAATTTTCCCTTGCCTATTCACTGACTTCTGAGTTGTGTTGTCTCTCTCATGACACCCCAATGTCTTAAAGATATTTCTAACAGTCTGAGGCTTTCCCCAGGCAAAAGCAAGCCCTATAAGAGGGCTGGGGTGTAGCTCAAGTGGTAAAGCTGCTTGCTTCAAGGCCCTGAGTTCAAATTGTAAGGGGACCAATGACAAAGGGGACTCTATTTTGGATGAGAGAGACACGTAAAAGGGGCATGCAAAAGAACAGGCTTCTCACAAAAATAACAAGCTTCTAACCAAAATAACAAAATGAAGGTACAAGATGTGGGTCCCAAAGTCAGGGTGAGCTGACCAGAACTTCTCGGCATGCTCATAAGTGGAGGGACAGACAGGTGACTGAGTTCAGTGAGAAAATGACTCAGTGCCAACCAATCACAAATGTATGTTCAAGGTAGAATAGTTGGACCTAAGCCAGTTAGTTCTCTATATCATATCCTAGACTTCAGCCATTGCTTGGCTTAGTTGTTTCAGTAAGTCCCACCCATCAGGGAGCTTTGCTATCCATTCAATAAACTTTGTGCTTGCTTTACTCTTAACTCCTGGTCTGCAGTGAACTTGCTTTAACTCTTAACTGCTTATCCAATGCCTTCATTCATGACTGCACCAGGACACAAACCGCGGGGGTGGGGAATTCTGTCCAGTATCATAATCCCACTACCGCTAAACAACAAAAAGTTATAGTAAAAAGACCCTATCTGAAAAATTAAATACAAGCAAAAAGGGATGGGGGGGGTGAAGCTCACGTGTGCAGTGCTTGCGAGGGCCTGCGTCCAAACGCCCGTACTGCAAAAAAAGAAAAAATAAAATCATTTGGGCTACAGGAGGAATTAAGTACTGCCCATGGGACCCCAGACGCGCATTCCCAGTGTCATTCCTCCTCTTTTCATAGAGACATGCATGCTGCAACTCAGCATTTTTGACGATGCTCATTCATAACAAATGTACGTGGAACATAAGGACACTGTCCCCATGATGGTTCCAAGGAGGCGCCTCCACGCACCCGCAAGACAATGATCCGCGCTGTGCCACTGACGCGGCCTGGCCACGAGGACGCCACTAGATGTGACAGGACCAAGTGAGCAAAGGCTCTGCTCCAAGGTGCGCCTTCCTGGCCGCAGTCACACTGCAGACGCGCGGCCGAGCAGGGACACACATAGCCGCTGCGACTCTCCCTCCCAGCCCGGCTCGGATCCGCCCGCCACCTGTGTCACAGACCGGGGGACGACCACCTGCGGTTCTGCCAACACCTCCTCAGAGTCCCCGAGGCCGCTTTCTCTCTCACCATAGTACAGAACTTCAGACATTCAGTGGAGGAATTCAAATTCCCCACCAAAGCTTCCTCCAAACAGCAGGTCTGGAACTTCCGGAGGAAACTGGCGGGGGCGGGGCAGCACCTGCGCCGAAGAATCCGGAAGAGCCGCAATCCTAAAGATGCTGGTAACTACGCTGGGTGAGACTACACTTCCCACAAGCCTCTGCGCTGCTAAGGGCAAGGGACACTTAATTTCCCAGGAGGTCTTATTGCCTCCAGGATGAGATGCTTTAGGAATGGTCCATACCCAGGTGATAGCCATGTGAACTCCTGCTTTTTTATTAAATCCTGCTCTTACAATCTAGTGCATTGTGGGACACATAGTTTAATTTTTAGCTTAAATGCATTGTGCCGTCGCTGTGGCTCAAGCCTGTAATCCTACTTATTGCAGACAGCGAGATAATGATCATAGTTGGATGCCACCGGGCAAAAGGTTCTAGAGACCCCATCTTGACCATAATGGCTCATGCCTGTCATCCTAGCGACACAGGGAAGCATAAATAGTAGGATTGTGGTCCAGACTGGGGGCAAAAGCAGAGACCCTATCTCCAAAATAACCAGAGCAGAAAGGGCTAGCAGCTTGGTGCAAGGCATGCTAGCAAGTGTCAGGCCCTGAGTTCACCTACCAATCCCACCAAAGACAAAGAATTCCATAGAAAACGAGAAGCTCACCCAAGTTCAGCTGGATCACTCAGTTATTAGCCTGGTCTTCAGTGCACGTTATTCACACAACAGTATATTTTTCTCAATGATAACTTTTATTTGACTTCACCAAAAGCAAAATGAACTTGTGCTAAGCCGTACACTAAATGATCCAAGGAAAATGTTTAATCCTGTCTTATGAATGGAGTATCTTGTACATACATTTATTTCTTTTGCAGAGCACTCGAATTGTCACCTAATTTACAAGTAGGCAGGATACCTGATCCAGCAAACTGTTTAAAGTGACTTCAGGTCAAATTGCCTCTTTTTTTTTCTTTTTTTTAAACTGTTACATTAAAACTCTAACCAAGTAAGGGATTCTTTAAGAATACTTCCTTAGAGAGATAAAGTTGAGAAGTGTGGCTTTTCGGTTTTTTAATGGCTTAAAGTTTCAGAGGTGATAGAAATTAAAATCACACTACCATTTGATGTAGGTTTTAAATGTCACCTATGTATCACACTTAAGCTTGTGGTGGCTTTCTTCTTTTGCTTCAGATAAAACTAAACAATGCATGCAACAGTGTCTGTGAAATACTTCAAGAAAGCATTTATATTTACATAATAGCTTCAACTGACAACATAGTGTATATGGGTCATCTTGAAGGATTATGTCACACTGAAAAGAAGAAAACCATACAGATAACTATGAATGCTATAAAGAAAAGGTTATTTCTAGTTTTGTACTAAAAATCAATTGGATGAGCTAAATCCACAACAGGACAGGGTAGCAGCAGTTCTAAGTCTTATTTCTCCTGTTTAGATATTTGAGTGCAGCTGCCCTGACCAGCTTATCCTGAGACTTTTGGCTAAGCTTTATTTCCTAGAATAGACTGTTAACTTTCAAAATTCCATTTTATTTGCAAAATGGAAGTACTGGTTTTCCTTGTGGATAAATACCCACATTTGTTTTTTTTGTTTGTTTGTTTTAATTTTTATTTCTTTATTATTCATATGTGCATACAATGCTTGGGTCATTTCTCCCCCCTACCCCCACCCCCTCCCTTACCACCCATTACACCCCCTCCTTCTCCTCAAAACCCCCAGCAGAAAAGTATTTTGCCCTTATCTCTAATTTTGTTGAAGAGAGAGTATAAGCAATAATAGGAAGGACCAAGGGTTTTTGCTAGTTGAGATAAGATAGCTATACAGGGAGTTGACTCACATTGATTTCCTGTGCATGTGTGTTACCTTCTAGGTTAATTCTTTTTGATCTAACCTTTTCTCTAGTTCCTGGTCCCCTTTTCCTATTGGCCTCAGTTGCTTTTAAGGCATCTGCTTTAGTTTTTCTTCATTGAGGGCAACAAATGCTAGCTAATTTTTTAGGTGTCTTACCTATCCTCATATCTCCCTTGTGTGCACTCGCTTTTATCTTGTGATCAAAATTCAATCCCCTTGTTGTGTTTGCCCTTGATCTAATGTCCACCTATGAGGGAGAACATACGATTTTTGGTCTTTTGGGCCAGGCTAACCTCACTCAGAATGATGTTCTCCAATTCCTTCCATTTACCAGCGAATGATAACATTTCATTCTTCTTCATGGCTGCATAAAATTCCATTGTGTATAGATACCACATTTTCTTGATCCATTCATCAGTAGTGGGGCATCTTGGCTGTTTCCATAACTTGGCTATTGTGAATAGTGCCACAATAAACATGGGTGTGCAGGTGCCTCTGGAGTAACCTGTGTCACAGTCTTTTGGGTATATCCCCAAGAGTGGTATTGCTGGATCAAATGGTAGATCGATGTCTAGCTTTTTAAGTAGCCTCCAAATTTTTTTCCAGAGTGGTTGTACTAGTTTACATTCCCACCAACAGTGTAAGAGGGTTCCTTTTTCCCCGAATCCTCGCCAACACCTGTTGTTGGTGGTGTTGCTGATGATGGCTATTCTAACAGGGGTGAGGTGGAATCTTAGCGTGGTTTTAATTTGCATTTCCTTTATTGCTAGAGATAGTGAACATTTTTTCATGTGTTTTTTGGCTATTTGAATTTCTTCTTTTGAGAAAGTTCTGTTTAGTTCACTTGCCCATTTCTTTATTGGTTCATTAGTTTTGGGAGAATTTAGTTTTTTAAGTTCCCTATATATTCTGGTTATCAGTCCTTTGTCTGATGTGTAGCTGGCAAATATTTTCTCCCACTCTGTGGGTGTTCTTTTCAGTTTAGAGACCATTTCTTTTGATGAGCAGAAGCTTTTTAGTTTTATGAAGTACCATTAGTCTATGCTATCTCTTAGTTGCTGTGCTGCTGGGGTTCCATTGAGAAAGTTCTTACCTATACCTACTAATTCCAGAGTATTTCCTAGTCTTTCCTGTATCAACTTTAGAGTTTGTGGTCTGATATTAAGATCCTTGATCCATTTTTAGTTAATGTTGGTATAGGGTGATATACATGGATCTAGTTTCAGTTTTTTGCAGACTGCTAACCAGTTTTCCCAGTTTTTGTTGAAGAGGCTGCTTTTTCTCCATTGTATATTTTTAGCACCTTTGTCAAAGACAAGTTGGTTATAGTTGTGTGGCTTCAAATCTGGGTCCTCTATTCTGTTCCACTAGTCTTCATGTCTGTTTTTGTGCCAGTACAATGCTGTTTTTATTGTTACTGTTTTGTAATATAGTTTGAAGTCAGGTATCGTGATACCTCCAGCATTGTTCTTTTGACTGAGTATTGCCTTGGCTATTCGTGGCCCCTTGTGTTTCCATGTAAATTTCACAGATTTTTCAATCTCTTTAATGAATGTCATTGGAATTTTGATGGGAATTGCATTAAACATGTAGATTACTTTTGGGAGTATAGACATTTTTACTATGTTGATTCTACCAATCCATGAGCATGGGAGATCTCTCCACTTTCTATAGTCTCCCTCAATTTCTTTCTTCAGAAGTTTATGGTTTTCCTTGTAGAGGTCATTCACATCTTTTGTTAGGCTTACACCTAGGTATTTGATTTTTTTTGAGGCTATTGTAAATGGAATTGTTTTCATATATTCTTTTTCAGTTTGTTCATTATTAGTGCATAGAAATGCTAATGAGTTTTCTATGTTGATTTTATATCCTGCTACCTTGCTGTAGCTACTGATGGTGTCTAGGAGCTTCTGAGTAGAGTTTTTTGGGTCTTTAAGGTACAGGATCATGTCATCTGCAAACAGGGATATTTTAACAGTTTCTTTACCTATTTGTATTCCTTTTATTCCTTCTTGCCTAATTGCTCTGGCTAGGAATTCCAGTACTGTGTTGAATAGGAGTGGAGATAGTGGGCATCCTTGTCTAGTTCCTGATTTTAGAGGGAATGGGTTCAGTTTTTCTCCATTAAGTATAATGCTGGCTGGGCTGGGATGTAGCTCGGTGGTACAGTGCTTGCCTAGCATGCGTGAGGCCCTGGGTTCGATCCCAGCACCAAAAAAAAAAAAAAAACCCTCTCCCCAAGTACAATGCTGGCTGTAGGTTTGTCATATATAGCTTTTATAATGTTGAGGTGCTTTCCTTCTATTCCTAGTTTTCTTAGAGCTTTTATCATGAAATGGTGTTGGATCTTATCGAAGGCTTTTTCTGCATCTATTGAGATGATCAAGTGGTTTTTGTCTTTGCTTCTGTTAATGTGGTTTATTATGTTTATTGATTTTCATATGTTGAACCACCCCTGCATCCCTGGGATGAAGCCTACTTGGTCGTGGTTAATAATCTTTTTGATGTGTTGTTGAATTCAGTTTGCCATTATTTTGTTGAGGATTTTTGCATCAATGTTCATTAAGGAGATTGGCCTGTAGTTTCCTTTTTGGAGGTGTGTTTGCCTGGTTTTGGGATAAGTATAATACTGGCTTCATAATATGTGTTTGGCAGTTTTCCTTCCCTTTCTGTTTCATGGAACAGTTTAAGGAGGGTTGGTATCAGTTCTTCTTTAAAGGTCTGATGAGTACCCACATTTTAAGTGCTCACTTGTATTTCAGGTTTGCACAAGGTATAAATAACTGAAGAAAATACTTGCTGGCTCCATAGGAAAATGTGAAATGAACTGTGTACATACTTCAGGAAGATTAATCATTACTTCTGTTAAGCACCATCAGCATAGTACAACTCCTGGTTCTGTTAGAAATGAAGTCTGTGGTGGTCCATTTTCAATGCAAGGCATTTAAACCTGAGTGGACAATTACTGGCAGTTTGCTTGCTTATCACAACAAACAAACAAAAAAACTCCCATCCCTGGCTTAAAACAATTTAACAGTTCTTACTAACATTTAAAACCTATCATTGTGAGTTATTTCATTCATTCAAAAGCATCCATCTGTCCCTCTCAGTGTCAAGTATCAGCTGAAACCCTTTTTGTAACAAGGCATGGTGTAAACAAAGAGAAAGTAAAGGGTATTTGGACCATGGGAATGTTGCTACTGAAATGGAAGAGTGATGGCTTCAAAAGTTCTAGGCCAGTTTGGGGATCCTGGGAGGCCCTCAGGCCTAAAAAGGAGGTGGATTGAATAGAGAAAAAGCACAGCTTTGATTGTGCTATTGTTCACTACTAAACTTCAAAGTGGGTTTTGGATTTTTTTTTTTTTTTTTTTTTTTTAGTGGGACAGGGCTTTGGGCTTGCAAAACAGGTATCCTAGCACAAGTGATGAGAGAACAATGAAAAACCATAAACAAAAAATGAGCCAGTCATTAGTGGTTGACAACTGTACTCCTGATTCCTTGGAGGCTAAGATTGGGAGAGGACTGAGGTTTAAGGTCAAATAGTTCTTGAGATCCCATCTCCAAAATAACCAGAACAAAATGGGTTTGGCTCAAGTGGTAGAGCACCTGCTTAGCAAGCGTGGAACCCTGAGTTCAAATCCATCTCATCCAAAAAAAAAAAAAAGTAAACGTTATACCTTATATAAAAATTCATGGGCTGGGAGAATGGCTGAAGAGGTAGAGTGCCTGCCTGGAACATGTGAGGTTCCAAGTTCAAACCCCAGTACCACCAAAAAAAAAAAAAAAAGTAAAAATTCACTCAAAATATTCTATAACTTAAAATGCAAAACTGTAACAACGCTAGGAAAACATAAAAAGTTGAACATGACCTGGTGTTTGGGTGATGAGTTTTAGATTCAATAGTAAATTCAATCCACAAAAGGAAAACACTGATCTTTATTAATAATACCTGCTCTGTAAAAGACATTTTTCCCTGCTGTCAGTAATAGGGTTTGAACTCAGGGTCTCATGCTTATTAGGTAGGCACTCTAATGCTTAAGCCACTTCTCTAGCTGAAGACACTCTTAAGAGAACAAAAAGTCAGATCACAGGCAGAGAGAAATTATTTGGGAAAATTACTTGTATCCAAAGCATAGTAAGAAACTCAAAGGTGGGCATGGTGGTGTACATGTGTAATACCAGCACTAGGGAGGCTAAGGCAGAAGGATTGCCAAGTCTGAGGCCAGCCTCAAACTGAGGCTACCGTCTCAAAAGAAAAAAGGAAAAGAAACTCTAAAAGTTAAATGGAGGGAAACCATCCAATTAAAAACAGGTATAAATCTCAACAGACACCTCATCCAAGATACACACAGGCCAGGCTCAGTGGCCACCCTGTAATCCCAGCTACTCAGAAGGCAGAAAATGGGGGATCGATTTCAACTGATGTCAGCCTAGCCAAAAAGTTACCAGGAACCCATCTCAACAAATAAGCCAGGTGTAGGTCTGCACTCCCAGACCTACATGGGCAGCCATAGGTAGGACTGCCAGTCTGAGGTTAGCCCAAGACAAAAATTTAAGACCCTACCTAAAAAGTAGCTAAAGCAAAAAAGGCTGAAGGAGTGGTTCAAGTGGTACAGCACCTGCCTAGCAAGCATGAGGCTTGAGTTCAAATCCCAGAACCACCCAAAAATAAAGACATACTAAGGGCAATAAGCATACAAATGATGCTGAATACTTCATGAGGTAAACACAAATTAAAGTCATGACTAGCACTGCATATCCTAAAATGGCTGAAATATTTCTTTTTTGACAGCTGGGTATTAAGCCCAGGCCTCAAACATCACACTTGCATAGAGTTACAACCTGAGTCCTGAAATCTTTTTCTAAAAGAGCAGTATTGAGGTGTGGTGGCACACACCTGTAATCCCAACATTTGGGAGGTGGAAAGTCTGTACGTCAACCTTCAGCTGTACACCATTTCTCACCACACGGCCAAAATGTTAACAGGTGACTGAGTAACCAAACTGGGATACATGCCAGCAATGGAATGCAAGTCAACAAGGTGGATGCATGGCCACCGCAGCAAAGAGAGCTTATTAGAACATAAGAGGCACTGTTTCTGAGGGCAAGGAGCCAGTCTGAGGAGGCTGCAGACTGTGTGAACCCATTAAATGAGATTCTGGAAAGGGGAAACTATCAAAAGCAAACAGACCTGTAATTAAAAGGTAATGTATAGAGAGCAGGGAGTGAACAGACCTGTAATTAAAAGGTAATGTATAGAGAGCAGGGAGTGAGCTGAACAGGAAACACAATGATGCAAGATGTGTAAATGGACCCAGTGGTTTTGATTTAAAAAAAAAAAAAAATTGCCATCAATTTTACCAGGCCTGATGATGTATTCATCTTCCAGGTTGGTGGAGATGGATCTCAGTTCAAGGTCCGCATAACCCCCATCTCAAAAAACAGACAGGGGCAGTGGAATGGCTCAAGTGGTAGCGCACTGGCCTAGTAAATGTGTTGCTGAGTTCAAACCCCAGAGACACACACACGTAAAAAAACAAAACAAAACAAGATGGAGGGAGGCACACATGGTAGTACATGCCTGCCTGCAACCCGAGCTGAGGGAAGCAGAGATAGAAGGATCACAGTCCAATGCCAGCCCTGGGCAAAAACACAAGCCCCAATATGAAAAAATAAAACTAAAGCAGCAGGCACAGGACCTAACAATATGTACTGAAAGCTGCTGAATAATGGGGGTGCAGGAGGGAAGGGTAAGGAGAGAAACAGAGGGGGTTGAACTGACCAAAGTAAAGTATACTCACATCTGGGATACATCAAGAAACCCCTTTGAACACTGACTTTGGAATTAAAAATGAATGACGGAACTGTAAAATAGGCACAGTGTGCGGAGATATTTGTGGAGGGGGAGGGGGATTACTTGTGGGAGGGTAGAAGATGGGAGGAGATGAAGGTGTGGGAACATGGTTGATGAACTTCATATACTTATACGAAATAGAACAAAGAAACCTCTTGTAATTGCTTTCAGTGGGGCGGGGAGGGGATGGGGGCAAGATGGTGGAGGTGTACAATATAAACCCAAATATGCACTTGTCACATTGAATCACCCTGTACAATGAATATATGCTGAAAAATGAACACAGAGAAACTAAAGCACAAAAGGGCTAGGGACATGGCTCAAGAGGAAGACAATCTGCTAGGGAAGCATGAAACCCTCAGTACTGCCAAATAAAAGACATCAATGACTTTATTATCCCCAGAAAGGACCTTATCATTTTGACAGAAAACAAGGCACTCTAGGTAAAGTGCCGCTCATGGGCCCTGGTTCTGCTTCACCCCTTTCCTCTGTGACAGAAAGTGTCCTGTGCAGGCTCCAGATCATAGGAGGAAGGCCTCCTCTTAGATGTACTTATACACAACTTTTGCAGGCACAGTCTGGAGGTGGAGCCGTACAGGACACTTGTAAAAGTGGGACAGCAGAGTCTCGCTGTAGCCCACAAGGAAGTAGAACTTGTGTGCAGGCAGCTGCCGTAGGACCACCGCACAAATGTCCACTTGGTTGGCCCGGCGCTTCAGAACCAGCTGGTCAGCCAGGCAGCCTGGGAAGGTTCCTCGCATGAATTTCCGAAGGAAGACATCTTCCACCGTCCGCTCTGCAGCATGGTCCTCACCGTGCAGGTTCCCTGAAGAGGAACAGTCTAAGATCAGCCCTGTGGCCCAAGACCCTGTCAAGAACCAGCGCTACCATCCAGGAGGACTGGGCAGTCAACCACCGTCTTCTACTAATAGAATTAATTCCCAAACCAATCCTATAAAGCAAGAACCATCGTTATCCTCATTTTACAAAATTTTATAAAAATTTGTGCCTAAGCCAAGGCACTAGACCCAGGTGACACTCCCTATCTAGTCCTGTCCTTTCCAGTCTTTCTTAGCTGCAGGAGCCATCCATGGACCAGATGAGGATGAGGCTACCACTACCCCTGAAATTAGGGACACCAGCTTCTCATGGACCAGGGCCACAGCTCCCACCAGTGGTTCTTAGATGGGGTCTGGACACCTTCAGCCTTTACAGTATGTGTCATGATTCTTCACAACCACACCTAAACCTCAGAGCGAGAACATGAAAGGTTGGGAGACCAGATACTTATTTTGCTTTATTATACTTTTATTTGTGGGACTGAGGACAGAACCCAAGAACTTGAATTTTACTAAGTTCCCTAAGTGCATCGAAAATCCCAAGTGGAGAACTTGCATACTGAACAAAACGCGGTTTGCTTCTCATTAGTTCACAGAAGTCAAGTTCTATAACGTCCCCACAAACACGGAACTAGTGAACTGTGAAGCACTGCTCCAAGGGTGATACCAGGTTAGGTTTGCGCAGCCTCCAGTCACCATGTTCCATCAATCCATCAAGATCAATCTACTTTCATGTGCCCTTCTGTGTCGACACTGTTTAATATGTATGACTGATTCACTGATACCAAACTTTCAGCCAACAGCACTTTATCTCAGGCCTGAATGGAGCTTGACAAGCGTATTTTCTTCTAAGGCCCATGGCAGTTTCTCCTGCTCAGATCATTAGCCAGCACTTCAGGGTCATTTTACACAGCTAAATCCCCAGTAAAAGGCAGTCATTGTGAAATGGGGGCTCTAGGCTGTGAACAGGGCATTTTTTACGGTATGAGAACTTGTTCTACCTCAGCTGGCAACAGGCATGTGGGCAATGACCTCATGTCCCTGAATGAGTTTGAAAGTGCCAGGGTATGCCAGAGTATTGATTTGGAGGTTGCAAATAAATTTTCATCAGTGTAAGAATATGCAAGGGCTGAGAATTCAATACACAGCTGTGCAAAAAAAAAAGGGGGGGGAGGCAGGAGTAGTGAGAATGCCTTTAATCCCAGCAGTGAAGGATAAGGCAAGAGTAGTAGGACTCTGAGGACAGCCTCAGCTACACTGCAAGACCTTTTCTCAAAAAACAAAATAAGAACTAGAGGTGTGGCCCAAGTGGTAAAGTGCTTGTTTGCTTAGCAAGTGCAAAGCCCTGAATTCAATCCCAAATCCCACCAAACAAAATTAAATGAATATCAGCAAATATGATATCCATGAATAATGAGAACTAGCTATAGATACCTACAGAGAGAAATGTGGTTTGGTGGAATACTGCCTTATTTAGGGCACACACTTTCAGGCTGCAGGATTCTAAGGGGGTTTCACTCCCTTCCTTGCGGCTGAGCCACCTGACCTCTGTAAATTAGATGACTTGTAATGCAAAACCTACTCTGTAGATATGCAAATAATCTGTTCATTAGAAGCTCAATAAAAAGAGCCTTGTGGCCCAACAGGAGGAATTCAGTTTTGCATTCATGTTCAAATTCAACTTCCTGTCTATGCCCTTTTTTTGTGTGTGTGTGGGACTGGGGTATGAACTCAGGGCATTGCACTTGCAATGCAGATGCCCTACCACTTCAACCAAACCTCCAGTCCATTTTGCTGTGGTTATTTTGGAGATGGTGTGGGGGGGGGCGCGGGGGGGGGAGGGTGTCTCTAGAACTATTTTTCCAGGCTGGCCTCGAACCAAGATCCTACTAGTCTCTGTAGCTGGCATTACACCGCGCCTGGTTATAACCTTGCTTTTTCATGTCTTCCTTGAACTGACCTAATAAATGTGGGATCCTAGCCATAACGACCAACTTGTGGGACATCTGTAACACGGTTCATCCCGTCTGTGTGACGGTCACCCCGCGCATCCTTGGGATTTCGAAAGTCCCCTCACCTGTGTGCAGCGACAGCCAGCCCTTCCGGTGGGCGATGTAGTGCGGCGCGTGCGCCTCCTCGTAGCTCACCGGCTTGTCCCCCTTGCCCACGCGGACTCGGGCCGCCCGGTTCTAGGACAAAGGAGCCATCACTCCGCACGCCCCACCTCGGCCCCACCCCCGACCCGCGGGCCCCCCGCCCGGCCGCGCTCACCTTGGCGCACACAGCGGAGGTGTGCAGGGCGTGCCAGGCGCAAGGCAGGTCCCGGCTCCAGGACAGCACCTGCGGGAGAGAGGGCGTGAGGAGGAAACCCGGGACCCACACCGACCCTCGCTGACCCGTGTCGTGCACTCACCCGCTGGCCCCGGCCCCATAAGCACACGGCTGCCGCCATCTTTCGTCGGCGAAGCGTGGAACGTACCACTGTGCTGAGCGGAGCCGGGGATGGTGACCGCGGGCGATACCAAGTCAGATCCAGCAGGAGGGGTGCGAGGCTCTGGGAGGCGGGGCTTCAAATATAGGGGGCGGGGCGTCGAACTTCGGGGAAGAAGCGGCGAGCCTCAGAGGGGCGGGGCTTCGAACCTCGCGGGACAGGATTTTGGAATTTGTCCGAGGCAGAGCTTCCAATCTGGAGAGGCGGGGCTTCGGAGCTCGTGTGGCGGGGCTTAATGTCTCGGGGACGAAGATACCAGCCTATGCGGGGCGGGACTTCGAAATTCGGCGGGGCGGAGCTTCGAGCTCGGGGGAGGGGATTCGAATCTAGGGGCGGGGCCTAGAGCCACAGGGGCGGAGCTTCGGACAAAAGACTGTCCTCTGCCCCAGCTCATCCCTGTGCTGTCCATGTGGTCCCCAGGGTTACTGGCATCGGATTTCAATCCGGGAAATTCCATGATGCACAACATGAGGTTTCAACCTCAAGAAACTCCTGCCAGGAGAGGCAATGGCATCTAGCAGAGAGAAGAAAATGCGCCGCCCCACCCACGTGGGCCTGGGATCCCAGAGATTAAATTGCCCTCTCCAAGCAATCTTATTTAAAATAAGGGGGAGAAAGGCGAGGTGCTGGGGCACAGCCTGGCCTCTGGGAAAGGAAAATTTTAAGTAGCAAGGACATTCATGAGGATATCGCAGGGCCTGTCATACTGCAGCCAGAGCGGTGCCAATGTTATTGGTATCCAGTAATTATGAATGTCAGAGGAAGAACTAGCAACACTGGATATCTTATTTTAGGACTCACTGCAGAAGATAACACATGGGCTCTGGAGTCAGACGATTGTCTTAGTCTTTGTACAGATGAGCCTCAGTGCCAGTTTAAATAAAATGGGCTTTAATGTTAGTTCTCCTTAGAGCTGTTAGGATCAATATGGCATTTAGTAAATGATAGCTGCTATTGGTTGTGTTAGATTGAATTTGATGAAGATGCCAATATTTAGCTGGGACCTGCATTGTTCACCTAATGGTACCAAGTCAGGCTAAGATAGGGAGAGACTGGGATACTTTTGACTTAATATTATATTTATGTTGAACATTTTTCTCCCTGTCTGAACCTTTCTTTCCATAGCAAATATGTGCAGATTGTTCACACCTTAGGTTAAACCACCACCCTAGCCCAGGGACCATCCCTCATTGATTGTTGGTGATCAAAAATCACCCAGTTTTTCCTCTCCCATAGATTAGCACAGGGTTTTAAAAGCACCTGGAAAGAGGAAGAGCTCTCTGTTTCCACCCATACCTGCCCCTCTATGACTTCTTGTAACTTTGTCCCTAACCTTTCATAAACCTTTATGATCACCCTCACTATGTCTACCTATCCTGCCTAGATGCATCCAGGGGGGAAATAAGAATCTGGATCTTCTGTTTATCAACCCATATCTATGGTGAGACTGTCTACTAGATGTTCATCTATGGGAGGGAACTGGAAGCAGAGATGAACTGAGTCTTCTGCAATGATGGTGGGGCAGAGGCAGAGAGCCAGCCAGACTACAGGCGCTCAGTTTCAGTCCCATCTGTTTGTCTAAAATTTCTCTGGCCACTTGAATATGGGTCCTTGCTAAAAGGACAGGCGCTTTCATTGCCACCTCATGAGAAATGTTTTATTCATAACTTTTCAAACTGCATCCTCCAACTGTCCAAATATTGGATAAGGGGATGTTCTCCAAAACACACAAAACCATGCAAATGTAAGAACTTTCAATTTTTCCTTAAAAACTTTTTAGTCTTTTTCACCATAAGCAGCAGGAAATGTATCTCTCTCTCTCTCCCTTTCATATTTTTCCCTACTTTATCCCATTATGCTAAAATAAATCCTTGCTAAACTTCAAAAAAAAATCCTTTTAAACTGAATCTTTTTTTGTTTTTTAGTTCTGGTAAGGTTTAATTTTGTAATCTGATAAGTTACATAAATGTGCCCCAAAGTGGTGAGGAATATGGGCTCTTCCACTTAAAACCCAGATCCAAATAGTGGACCCACCTCCTGGCTGTGTAATGTGGGCACTGACAACCTCCTTGACCCAGGTTACCTCATCTGTAAAATAGCACAGTAATGGCTGCTGTGAGGCTGGGGTGTAGCTCAGCGGGTAGAGTGGATGCTTAACATGTATAAGATTAACATGTATAAGGTTCGATGCCCAGCACTGATAGATTGCATTGCAGGTAGACATGAGCAGCGGAAGATGGAGAATTCTTGGTTCTGTGTGAACCTTCTGAGAGTCAGGTTCTCTCTCCATCATGGCCTGCTTGCTTACAGGCTGCAAACTAAACCTTTCCAGATCTAAGCTTGTGGCTTCTGCAAACTTGTGAAATGCCTGTGAAACCTGGATGTCACCAGGAGGGGGAAGGCTTGGTGCAAACTGATAAACAAAACCTGATATGGCCAGACCCTTCTAAAGCTTAATGTTGCCCTGAAATGCATTATGTCCCCATCCTACTTCCAAGTAAAGAAAAACTGCTGTGGTCTTTAATCAGGTTAAGGTAGGCCACCTGGAACAAGAGTTGCCTTTTGCCCATTGTGATGTCATCCTGATCTCATTTATATTTTAAAGTTTTCTCCCCGTGTGTTTTTCTTAGGCATGTACAGAGTGACTCTTCAGATGTGTCATAGCTATTTCTCAACTTTCATGTCAGTCACTCACTGTGGGCTGACTCCTGCAGAGGGGCTTGACATTCCAAGCCTCTTAAACTTCAATAAAAACCTGCACAAGAGCCTGGCCCTCGTGGTTTATGCCTGTAATTCCTGCTATTTGAGAAACTGAGATTGGACTGCGTTTCTAGGTAGATCCACACAAATAGTTTGGACGACCCCATCTCCAAAATAACCAAAGCAAAATGGATTGGAGGTGTAGTTCACATTGTGGAGTGCCTGCCTAGCAAGCACAAAGTCCTGAGTTCAAACTCTACTACCTCCAACAACAAAAAACAGGAAGCTAGTGTTTTAAACTCAATTTATTTGTGGGACTCCAAAAAAGGGGTCTTTGCAGAGATCCCTTTGGGGAAGGCTGTGACAGTTCTCTGAGAGGACTAGCTGTAGCCCAAGCCCACCACTCCTGGACCACTACACAGAAGAGGGCCCTAGTGGTGGTCAGGATGTAGAGATGGTCTGTCCTGCTGGATCTAGTGTAGCCATCACAATATCACTAGTGCTCAGAAGCCGGGCCAGGGAGTGACTCTGGAGTTTTTGTTTTCATTGTGGGTTTGGTTTTGTTTGTGTGTGTGTGTCTGTGTGAGTATCTGTGTGTGTGTCTATGTGTCTGTGTTTGGTTGGTTGGGTGTTTTTATGGCAGTACTGGAGTTTGAACTCAGGATCATGTGCTTGCTAGACAAGTGCTTAATAACTTGAGCCACAGCACCAGCTGAGGAGTGACTGTATTAGAGGGACCCTCTCAGCTGGGCTCAGTGGCTCAAGCCTGTAATCCCAAATACTCAGGAGGTAGAGATCTGGAGGATCACAGTTCAAGACCAGCCTGGGCAAAAAGTTCTCAAGAACTCATCTCAACCAATGAAAGCTGGATGTGGTTGTGTGTACCTATCATCCCAGCTACCAGAGAAGTGTAAATAGGAAGATGTGGTTCAGCCTAGCCTAGGCATAAAGTGAGACCCTATTGCAAAACTAACTAAAGCAAATTCACCACATCTAAGGAGTTGGAGTAGTTACAGGTCACGTTTACCTTAGTAGAAACTGCCCAACACCAGCCCTGCCCAGCACTGTACTCCAGCAAATCTAAGGTAACATCAGTTAGAAGATGCCATGTATATACTATTAACAAAGAGCCAGCTGGATGCCAGTGGCTCACTCCTATAATCCTAGTTACTCAGGAGGCAGAGATCAGGAGGATGGGTTCAAAGCCAGCCCCAGGCAAATAGCTATCATGAAAATGACCAACAAAACGAAGGGCTGATGGAGTGGCTCAAGTGCTAGCCTAGCAAATGTGAGGCCCTGAGTTCAAGCTCCAGTATCTCCCCTTCTTCCCTCCAAGGTGAAAGGATTTTCCACCTTTCCCTTCTTATGGTTGTTTCAACAGGTTTAACACTTCTATATTCATTCTTGCTCTTGATACATTTTTATTTTTCGGTACTGGGGTTTGAACTCAGGGCTTACACCTTGAGCCACTCCACCAGCCCTTTTTTGTGATGGGTTTTTCAAGATAGGATCTTCCGAACTATTTGCCCAGGGCTGGCTTCCATCCTTCTGATAGTAGCTAGTGAGCCAATGGCAACCCTATCAACTCTTTTAAATCCTGCATTCCTTTGAAAATCTGATGAAAGCTCAGGAGTTCTGATTGATCCTTATCTTCAGACAATGGATAGACCCCATATTAAGAATCTTTTATTTTTTGGTACTGGGGATTGAACCCAGGGCCTCAGGTATGCTAGGCAAGTGCTCTACTTGAGCTATGCCCTGTTCCCTTTTGCTTTGGTTATTTTTTGGATAGGGTCTTGGTTTGTTTGTTTGTTTCGTTTTGCAGTGCTGGAGTTTGAACTCAGGGCCTACACCTTGAGCCACTCCACCAGCCCTTTTTTGTGAAGGGTCTTTTCGAGACCCTATTTGCCTGGGGCTGGCTTTGAACCTCAATCCTCCTGATCTCTGCCTCCTGGGTAAGCTAGGTGCTGGGCTGGGTCTTGTATTTTTGCCTGGGGCTGGCCTCAGAGTACAATCCTACCTACAACCTCCCTAGTAGCTGAGATTATAGAGATGAGTCATCACACCCTGATGTATTGAAAAGGGGTCCCCTAACTTTTTTGTTCATCCTGCATTGAACTTCAATCCTCCTGATCTCCATGAAACAAGTAGCTGAGATTACAGACATGTACCATCCCAGAGATGAAAATTTCTAGAGCCCGAGGATTAGAGATTCTTTTTGAGTTTTAGATGGGAAAGGTTTTCCTAAACTTATTAGCAAAAGATGGGGCCTGCGGAGTGCCAGGACTGCTGTCTCAGCTCACAGGGACAACACTTTAAACAGATGTGAGCAGTGAGTACATCATCCTGGGACCCCAAGAAGCCAGGCAGGCAGAAGAGCTTCTGTGCAACAAAGGGTTCCGGACCAGAAGGCAGGTGAGTACCCTGGAGCTGAGTCTGGTAAAAGGACAAGAAGCAGGGTAGGAACCCTGACTGAAGTCAGGAAACACAGCAACAAAGCTCACAAGCTCAAGCAGGAATTCCTAGGCCTGCAGGCAGCTGGCTTCGTGAAGTGACAGTGGCCCTTAGGGACAGCTGGCACAGGCAAGGATTCCTGATGAAGGATCAGCAGGGCGAGAGTCCAAAGTCCCTGGTCAAGCATGTGCCTCAAATAGTGGCAAGTGGGTTAGGACAGTCACTGGGGAGGACTGGGTTGGGGGGGGGATGGATGGCTCTGGGGAGCTGCAGATATGGAGGTTAGGACAAGAGAAGCAGGGCCAAGGGGGTGAGTGTGAGGCTGCTTCCTTCTGTCACCTACAAAAGGAGTGATGATGGGGGTACCTAAGTTATTGGGAAGGGATTCAGTTCTATTTCCAAGTAACAATATGAACAATGGCTCTTTCCTTAAAGAGAGGGAAGAATGGCACTTTTTGTCATTGTTGTTGTTTGGTGGTACTGGGGCTCGAACTCAGGACCTCATACTTACTAGGGAATCATTCTACCACTAAGTCACTCCAGGCCTTGTTTTTTTTTTTTTTGGAGACAGGGTGTAGCAAGTGTGCATCACATGCCTGGCTTAGCATCACTTCCTATGTGGATTTCTAGATCTTTCCTCAGGCAGAGGCTACTGTCCTCTCTGAGCACACAGCACAGTGAAGGCACAGAGAGGTAGAACCTATACACTGCTGTTAGGTGAATACTCATTCAACAAACATTTATTAAGCGCCTACATGTGCCAGGCCCTAGGGACATGGAGCTAGATGATGTTCAGTCCCTGCCCTCAAGGAGCTCACAGTCTGGGCAGACAAGTGACACAGGCCATGAAGTGCTGAGGCAGAGGTATGACAAAGTGCTGGGACACAACAGGGTGACTGAGGAACGCTTCTTGTGCAAGGGTCAGGAGGGCTTCATAGACCAGTTCATAAACACGGTGCCACAGCAGTGCCTCATATACTGTGGGCAACATGGTGTCACTGAACCACAAAGGACCCTACGGTTGGACAAAAACAAGTCCTCTCCCATTTCCTCAGGACAACCCCAAGGTGTACTGGGCGTCCCTGTCTGCCAGTGCCTGCAGTGATGAGGGAAGCTGTTCCCCACTCCAGGGGCCAAGGAAGGAGCAGCCATCCAGAGGGCCAACCCTTGACAGGGCTCCGGGATAGAGATCAAACTACTGCTGTGTCACCACACCCCGGGCCTCTGAGCTGGTCTATGGGGATGCTGCTTTTCTTAGCACTGTAAGCAGATTCCCACCCTGACCTTCCTGGTCTTCCTGTAAGGACGGCCTGCTGCAGTGGGTCCCGGCCCTCATAGCCGCCGCACCAGCTCGATCAGCTGTTGAATGTTTTTGTTTTGGTTGGACAGGCCATTCCTGATGTTTTCTAGCAGGCATCTCTTCAATTCAAAAATGGCCTCACTGTACCCCAGGCTCACGGCAGCCATGGGCGGCGCTCCGTGCCACAGGGCTGGGATGTGCCATATGTGCTGCCTCTCAGGATCACAGAATGCCAGGCCCGCCAGCGTCCGGAAGCCACCACCCTGCTTCTCCATCTGGGCAGCAGCTCTGCTCAGGTCACTGGGTGGGTCCAGGAGCTGCCTCCTGTCTCTAGGCTTGGGGCTGGGGACAGCCCCGTCATGAAGACTCTGGTACACAAACTGATAGTTGGGCATGTGCCCTGTTTTCTCCAGCCTCAGAAATGCATGCACAATAGCTGGCGGAATGTCCTTTGTTTCAGCTAAACTGACCACAGTGACATTGCTTAGCCCCAGAAGCAGAGTGGCCAAGGAAACCTCCAGCTCAAACCTGTCCCCAGCTGAGGCCCCACCGACCAGCCCACCTGAGTCTATCACCAAGATGTGGTCACAGCCCAGGTCCTGGCTAAAGCCTTCAGCCACTGTGATGAGCTGCATGAAGGCCCCCCGGGGACTACAGCTCCTCCCTGTGGCAAACCGCAGACCAAACATGGTGTTGAGAAGTGTGGATTTCCCCGTGCCAGGAACCCCCAGGGAGGACAGGACTACCAGTCTTGACCTCCTGTCCAAGTGAATGTGCAGTTCCTTGAGGAGCCCTGTGACCCAGCGTACAGGGACGCTCAGGGTGCCCCCATCGACCAGCTCCAGGGGCAGCCCTGTCAGCAGCAGCTCCACGGCTAGGCCTGGGAAGTGTGCAAAGCGCCTCTGGCTGGCAGGCAGCCTCCCTGCCTCTACCAGACAGCTCTCAGCCTCGTACAACTGCCCCATCTCCCGCAGGAAGTGCTCTACCCCCAGGGGCTCAGGCCAGAGCGGCTCACTCAAGTCTGAGGTCCCACCAAGTTTCGGTCTCAGGGTGAGGAGAGTCTCGGAGGGCTGTCTCAGCCATGGCTGACCCACCCGAGCCAAGCCCCACTCCATCCACCTCAGGAAGTACTGCCTCTCACCCGGGGAGGGACTACTGATCCCCGCGATAAACTCCTGCACCCCTAAGGCAGGCTCCTGGCCATTCTGCTGCATCCGGAGCTCCAGAAACCGTCGCCTCAGCTCAGCCCGGTGCTTCTCAGGTGGGTCCGGGGTCCACTGGAGCTGGCAGAACTCCCTCTCCACCTGGGCTGCCTTCCTCCCAGTGTCCCCCTGCAGCCTCAGCTCGTCCCTCCTGTAGGCGTCTGCATCCTTTATCTTCCTGGTGATCCTCTCCATCCGGTCCTTTGCCTTCTGACAGTCTTCACAGTCTTCATCCACTCTGAGGCCCAATTTGCGGGCCGCATGTGCCATGTCCTCCACAGACACCCTCCTGCAGGGGGACCGTGCCACGCTGCCCACGATTGCTCGGATTCTCTTCACGAAGCTCTCACTGTCAGTGCTGCTGACCTTCACCAGGACATGCGAGTGGTCTATCTTCAGCACAGGGATCAACCTGTTGAGGAATCGCAGGTTTGTATTCCGCTTCCCTCGGTAGGGACTCAGGATGAAGTAGTATTTTGTGGTTGACTCTTTCAGGGAGTACAGCAGTTTGTATTCCTTCTTACTGATGTTGTCAGTCAAAATAAACACAGCAGAGGAGACTTCGGTCAAGAACTTAAACTGCAGCCAGTGAGACCCAATGTCACCTCGCAGGTTCAGAAAGGCCATAGGCTCTGGGAAAGCATCCAGGTCCTCCCTGCCACTGGGGAAAAACCAGGAAATTTCCACCAGCCCATCTGCAATTTCTCGGGGGTTGGTGCCCAAGTTGAGGTCCCGATGCCAGAAGCAGTCCCACTGCCAGCAACCCAGGCTAAGGATGGCGTTGAGCAGTTGGGACTTAGAGTTGCTGCTGACATCCATGCGCACGAAGGCAAAGGTGGGCACCCTGGACAGAACCACACTGTCCTCTCGAAAGCTTCCCAGGCCCCGTGGGGCTGGGACCACCACGTCCGTACCACACCCCGCAGGGCCCACAGCAGAAAGGTGTGGTAGTGGTTTTCCGAGTCAGGCAACACAAGCGGGAGTGCAAACTGGCACAGCGACATCTTCAGCATAACCTCTTGCTGCAGAAAGCTGTCTGCAGACAGCAGGAGGGCACAGAGAAGGTCCAGGGGGTTCACAGGCGTATCGGGTGTTGGCAGCTCAGAGAAGGAGTAGATGTCGTCAGCAGCAATATCCTCAGCCGGGTCCCAGTACATCATCTCCTCCTCCATCTGGCTCTCCTTCTCTGCGGGCCGGGTGTCCAGAGGCAGGTCCAGCACCATGGTGGTGTTCCTGGCTTCAGAATTGAGGGCCTGCAGCTTCCTGAGGAAATGCCAGGGCAGATCCTTGGGAAGCTGAGGAGCCCAGTTCTTCATGCTGTCAAAACTGATCTGCAGGGAGTCCTGGAGGCTGAGCTTCTGCACCTGGTATGTCTCCAGTCCCAACAGGGACAACATTTCCTGAAGCCTGCTTCTCTCCACTGTGGGAAAAATGGAGATGTGAGTGCTCAGCCTGCATCACAAAGTCAGGGCCAGGGCACAGATGGAGAGGGAGAGCCCAGCAGAAAGAGGCTAGAGGACACCCCTCAAGGTGAGGCTTACCATGTGTCAGTGGACCGGAGCTCAGGGGAGAGGGTGGGACCCTACATCATGGTGAGTACTATCATCTAACACAGATGTGTGTGACATTAAAAATGGAAAGAAAAAAACAGGGAAACTGAAGAGCCATGTTGAAGAATTTAAGTTCATGTTTAAGTTGTGTAAAAGCACTGATTTCTGATTTCTCTAGAAACCTTTAAGATCCAACTCTGAGCTCAACATTGATGAGTGGAATGACCAGCACATGGCCCCAGGTGCTAAACTCAAGCCCCAAAATACCCAGGAACCCAAACCCAGGCCACAAGCTTGTTCCAGGGCTTCTGCCCCACACTCTAGCCCAGCCCTGGGCTCCTTCAATGTCACCAGGAAGTTCCTACCGGGGGCACAATCACTATTTGCTCTGGTTTTCTAGTGAATGTAATTTGAAGATATTTTAAAGCAAAATAGGAAGATACGAATCATAGAATCAACAATCACAGCTCAGCCCCATTTTATAGATCCAAGACCAAGAACGCAGAGGATTTCTTGTTTATTTGTTTTGTTTTGTTTTTGCAGTGCTAGGGACCAAACTTGGGACCTTGTGCATGTTAGGCAAGCGCTCTACCACTGAGCTACCTCCCCTTGGATTTTTGAGACAGGATCTCACTATGCAGCCCTGGCTGACCTCAAACTTATAATCCACCTGCCTCTGCCCCCTGAGCACTAGAATTACAGGTGTACACCACCATACCCAACACAATAATGCAGTTTTTACTGTAGTAACACATTTGATGCAGACTAAGTAAGCACTTCTTTGTGCAAATATTCAAACATCATTGTATTTTATATTTTACAATACAAAATCTTACAAGTTAGATGCTCAGAACAGTATTACTAATTCCAAGGTTCTACATACCACTCTAAGTCTTGGTCTGACATCTTACCAGTGTTCATATTGCACATAATTAGCTCACTTTATTTTTATGTATTTATTTTGTTGGTGCTAGGGATGGAACCCATGCACTAGACAAGTGCTGTACCACTGAGCTATTCCTCTAGCTCTTCCTTAAATATCCTTTTGAGATGGGGTAGGAGTAGTGTGAGGGTGGTGTCTCCCAAGATTGCCCAGTCTTGGTCTTTAACCCATGGGTGGGCTCAATTGTTTGCCTGCCTTCACCTCCCAGGTAGCGGGGACTAAAAGCATCCCTACCACAATTATCAAATAGCACTGTACAGAGGGCTCAGTTATACAGCAGTATGACTATAAGACCACTCCCAGAGAGTACAGGGGCCTGTGAAATTGTTGCAAAAACAGGAAAATTGCATAGAAAGAGTTGCACTGTGGCAGAAATCCTGAATATATGTTATGCAAGTTTCCTCATTTTGCCTGAATGAAACCAGAAACAATGTTTTTCTTGTCTAGATGTAGAACACCTGTTTTTACTGTTTAAGTAACAAAATAGTAAAAGCAACTTGGTAGTAAAAGCGAAGTCACAGTAAACAAACCCATTCTTAAGTGCCCATGCCGAGTATGTGGCTCATGGTAGCCATTCAACATGTTTTTGATCTGCACACAAAGCCACTGAATAAGATGAAGGCTTTCTAAATCTAGCTGTGCATTATAATCACTTCCGGAACATGTTAAAAGTAATAGATTCTGGGCTGGAGGTGTGGCTCAAGTGGCAGAGTTGCTGCCGCGAAAGTGTGAGGCCCTGAGTACAAACCCTAGTACCACCAAAAAAGAAAAATAAACAAATAAAAGATTCATGAGAGAGGAAAAAGAAAAGGCATATGAGCTTTACCTCCGATGTTAACTCACTACAGCAGTGGGTATGGAGAGGAACCACTGGTTACTCCATATAGTTAGCAAACTCCCCAGGGGTTTGGTTGACAAAGGGCTAATGGACCAGAGCAGCCTAGATCTGAGCAACCTGCTTCACCAGGTGATTTGATACAGTCAGGTATGGGAAATACCCACCAAGTTGATGTCCCCCTCCAACACAATAGGACGCTACAACAGGGAGGGAAATGTATACCTGTTGGAAAGTCATTGTCCTGAGCCTCATTTGTGCCATCTACAAGGAAAGCAAATGAAAATGCAGTGTTAATCAACGAAACTCAGAAGCCCCCTTTTTTTTCAGCAAGACAGCAATGTCTCTCAATTGTTAAAAACACAAAATCTCAGCTATTTTTCTTCTCCTATTCCCTCATGCCTTCCCCAGCTCAATCGGTGCTAAGTCTCATAGTTTCTACCTCCATAATGGAACCCGCAGTCATCTCCTTCCATTTCTCTCCATTCCAAATCTAGAAGGAAAAAAACAGAGGCATTTAGCTTCATCAGCAAGTAAGAATCTTTCGACCACAAAGTTCAAGTGAGGATCTGGTGGCTGCTGTTTATCGTCAGTACTATAGGCAACGTATTCCTTATTGGAAATGCTTGGGACCAGAAATGTTTCCACTGCAAATTTTGGAATATGACCCAAGTCCAAACATGATTTTGTGGGGGTATTTGATTTATTTTATTTTTATTTATTTATAATTTTTTTTGGCCGTACTGGGGTTTGAACTCAGGGCCTCATGCTTGCTAAGTAGGCACTCTACCACTTAAGCCACTCCACTAGCCCTCATTTTATTTTTGAGACAGGGTCTCACTATGCAAATCCAGGTTGGCCTCAAACTCAAGATTTTCCTGTCTCCACCTCCAAGTGCTGGGATTTACAGGCATGCACCACCAAACCCAGAAAAACCCAAAAAATTTCAAATATTTTATATGTAAAAGTCTGAAAGTAATTTTCTACAACATTTTTAGTGCAGCTGCATTTTGACTGTGACCTGTTATATGAGGTCAGATGTGGAATTTCCCATTTATGGATCATACCAATACTTACCAAAGTTTTGGATTTTGGAGCTTTTCAGATTTGGAATTTTCAGATTAGGAATGCTCAACCTTTTTACAGGTTTCAGTTTTTCCTACGGAAATTTTATATCTTTTCCAACACAAAGTAGTAATAGCTACCTACAAGATAGGGATTTGCTTTATGAGATACTCCTTGTAGAATTTGCTAAGTTTTATAAAAATATAATTTTGATTTTAGAAACTACTTAAAATATAAGTCAATATAAATTCCTTGGATTCAAGACTCACCATTATCAACACTACTTTTATAATCACTTAAAATCATATGTATATCAAAGCACAAATCTCCAGGCAGGGGGACAGAGCGAGAAAGAGTTGTGACTTACAAGTCAACATTATCCTGTCTTTAATGTTATGATGTCAACACTAACATAACTATAGAATATATTTAACTAGTGCTATTCAGATATTTACATTGGGAAAAAGACCTTAAAACTCTAGCCCTATGGATTTGCCTACAAATGCATAATACAAAGCGGGTGAACAGGCAGCTGGGCAGTTGGGCAAAGCCAGACTTCTCTGCATGTTTTATTGTTCGGACTTTCGATCTAAGTAAAAGTATCACCTATTCCAAATTTTATTTTTTCAGTGTGAGGGTTTCATGCAAACTAAACACATACTACCACTGAAATACACTCCCAACCTTCCAAGTTTATTTATTTATTTTGTGGGCTGGGGATCAAATCAAACCAGTGCCTTGTGCATGCTAGGCAAGTACTCTACCACTGAAATACATCTCCAGATCCAAAATTTATATCTTTAAGAGCTTCTAAATCAAGATTCTGATATCTTCTGATTTATCAATCCTCTCACAATTCCCAGATAACTAGTAGATGAACCTAATATTTCAAACTGTTTTCTTTGATGTTTATGGGAGATAAGGTAAGAGAAAGAAGGAAAAGAGAGGGTCTCTAGCACAAAGATATGAAAGAAGACACAGGATAACTTATATGGATCAAACTACAATGTCTAGCAGTCAAAAAGTCACTTTACTCAAAGTGAAGAAAAGCTATCTGAAAATATTTTCCAAGGAATCCAAAATGCCATATGAGGAGAGAAACCCTGAGAGCCAGAGGTGGATGTGGGGCGGCTCTGAGAATAGTTTGAGCTGAATAACTGTCAGACCCTGAGAAAATAGGGCCTTGCTTGATTAAGGATGGGAAATATCTCTAATCTGGATCTAGAGAGATAACAGGTGCAAGAAGTCAAGGATACACAAAGAAGCCGAAGTCAGGGAGGTCAGGTGGAGAATAGTCTAATGCTCCACAGGCAGAGATGCCGAAGGCAAGAAGCAAACAATAGAACAGGCAGAAAGGAAGGTAACAGAGCCCCAGCAAGGACATATGGCCATAGCAAATATAGGGAGGCCAGCAAGGCTTGGTTCCTTAGGCTGAGCAGGGCCTGGTTCAAGGAGGAGGTATGCCTGAACTCCAACTCCACCATACACCAGACACTACAATGTGACCACTGACACTGCATCCCTTAAGAACTGTTACAAGGCCACATGGGAGAACTCAAAGTGGGCAACTGAAGTCACTTTCACAAACCGAATGCTCTTTCTGATCCAATTATTACAGCACTAAGTATACAACCTCTAGAGTAACCCACCTAAATTTGGTAAATGAACATTTATCATTTGACACCTTGGAGCATGAATGTTAAGAATGAGGTGTGGATGTCCACATGCCTAAGAACGAAGTTGGACACTTACTTCACACTGTATATAAAAGTGAACTCAAAATGAGTAGCAACTCAGAACTCTTAGAAGACAAGATGGGAACAAATCTTGGTGACCTGAGATCTGGCAGTGGATTCTTAGATATGATACCAAAAGCACAAGCAACAGCAACCACAAAAATACAGCACTTTCCAACAGGCCCAGAGCCTTAGGATCTAAGCCAGCTCCACATAATTAATTAATTAATTAATTAATTAATTAGCAGTGGGAGAGAGCACATGCAATTATGTGTCCAATAGGGTCTAGTATCAAGAATATATAAAGAACTCTTACAATTTTATCACGAAAAAGATAAAATCACCATTAAAAGTGGGCAAAGACTTGACTAAAGATTCTGAGGCAGAATCTTTACGTAAAAGGCAAGATAAAAAGCCTTGAATTCACTTCTGAGGATTTCAGTGCTAGAATCCAAACTCCCAATGGGGTCAAGTGTAGCAGTACACACCTGCAATCCCTGCACTGGAAGGCTGAGGTAGGAAGATCATGAGTTCAAGGCTAGCCTAGGCTACAGAGCAAGTTCCAGGCCAAGTGTGGGCTAAACAGTCAGAACCTGCCTCAAAAACACACAAAAAAATTCCCAATAGGACAGCAAAAACACAACAACTCCAAAGCAGGCAACAGTTCAACTTTACCTGCAATCGCCACGGCTGTTTCTCTCTCTGACGCTTTTATTTCTGGGGTCACTTCTCCCAAATCTGAGTGCCTGAAATAATTTCAGAAGAACAGTATAATTAAAACAATAAACTACCACTTTCACCTATCAAGTTGTTGCATGTGGAAATCACTTGGGGAGCTCTTAGAAACTACAAACTGTGGGTTACAGCCCAGCTGCATGAAACCAGCACCTCAAGAGCTGGTCCTGGGCAGCTCTACTTTTAAACATGCCCTCTGTGACTCTAATGTACAGCCCAGGGGACAGACACTAGCCTGGAAACATCAGCACTCACAACAGCCACTGGCCAGAGTGTAAACACAGCATTCAGAAAGATATGAAAATATACATACCCTTTGACCAGTAATTCCACTTCTATCCTAAGGAAATAATTAAGATTTAGTTACAAAGTTGTTGATGCCAGCTTTATATATAATAGCCTTTTAAAATCAAAGTCCAGTAACAGGAAATTATAGTCTTATTCTGCAGCATTACAAAATATCCTATGGATTTCTTTTTGCAAGCAAAACAATTTTAGGTGAAACATTAGGGAATGATGTTAATGATATGCTAATTAGCAGGAGAGAGGTTACAGAGAAATATGTATAGTGTGATTACAATTTAACAAAATTCTGTGTATTCATCTAAAGGTACATATACAGAAAACTAGAAGGATATTCATCAAAAGTTAATGTAGAGTTAGGTGTGGTACTGCACACCTCCCAGTACTTCGGAGGCTGACGCAGAAGAACTGAAAGTTCAAGGCCAGCCTAGACTAGCTACATAGTGAGACCCTTTCTCAAAAAAATAAAACAATAAGTTAATAGTGTGGGCACAGAAGGATAATCCTGAGGGTTTTTTGGTTTTGCTTTTTGTGGTGCTGGGGAATCAAACCCTGGCCTCGAACATGCTAAGCAAATGCTCTGCCACTGAGCTACACTCATGAATTTTTTAAGTGGATTTTTTTTTTTCTGCAGTACTGGGGTTTGAACCCCAGGGCCTTCACCTTGAACTACTCCACCAGCCCTGTTTTGTGTTGGGAATTTTTGAGGTAGGGTCTTCTGAACTATTTGCCTGGTCTGGCTTTGAACCGTGATCCTCCTGATCTCTACCTCCTGAGTAGCTGGGATTACAGATGTAAGCCACCAGCGCCTGGCTTTAAGTGAACTTGAGAACTATAGTTTAACTACAAATATTTTGTCAGGCATGGTGGTACACACTATAATTCCAGTACTTGGGAGGCTGAGGCAGAAAAATTTAGACTCTAGGCTAGCCAGAGCTACACATTAAGACCCTGTCTCAAAAAAAAAAAAAAAAAAAGTACTTTAGATATATCATAGAAATGTGTAGATGTGCTGATTTTGTTGACGGCTAGGGTCCTCACTGTGGAAGGGTGAGCATCTAAGTGTGGACAGAATTCACAAATCTTGCAGAGGTGCTATAATTGAGCTCTATGTCTGTACACACAACCATTTTGTAGCTTTCCCCACTGCAAGGGCCAACCGGCAGCCACAGCAAGAGCAATGCATGCACCTCATACCTGTAATATCATTCTATGCTAAAAGAACAAGGGTTCCTGGGAGATGCTGGTTGACTCCAAGGCTGGGCAGGGAAAGAATAAGAGGCACTTGAGTGTATTAGTTCAGAAAGTGAAGTAGTGCCCTGAAAAGCCCTGGGGCATGCCACAGGATTCAGGCAGCAGGTTGCAGGGCTCCCAACAGCCAAATCTGGATGATGTAAGCATGAACATAATTAAATACAGTAATTAAGTTAAAACCACTGAAAAGCACAAATTAGTCCATGCAGATAGTAAACAGATAGAGCGGAGAAACCTCTAGCTCACAACAGAATCCTAAATGTGAAGAGGGTGCTACAGTTAGAACAGTGTCTTTTTTGCAACTGCCATAATCAAGACTGGCTTAAGCAAGAGCAAACATCAACAAATACTAACTCTTGAAGAATGCTGAGGAGAAGCAAGCTGCTTGCCCATGTTAAACTGTCTCCTTTTAAGACTGCTTTTTAGGTGCCAGGGAGGGGGAAAAAAACAGACACTAAGTAACAACGGAGAGCTGGGTGACAGGAACTGAGTGATCCAGAGGAACCTTCAAACAAGGTCAGGTGTCCCTGCAAGGAGCCCCTGGAGGAAGGACACAACACCTCTGCAGTGTTTTGCCAAGAAGGTAAAACTCAGACCAAGCATGAGGACAAAATGCGGCCATTGTACCAGCAAGGGAGAATTGTGCCATCCCAGTGTGCATGTCATAAAAGACAAAGGCAGACTAAGGAAATGGCCCAGAATAGAGACTTTTAAAAAGACATGGAAACCAAACACAATGTCTAATCCTAGATTAGATCCCGAACTAGAAGAGGAAATTTGGGGGTCAAAGTATCTTATGCTGAAGGATGAGGGGGAAAGTGTGATGATGTGTGCAACATACTGTCTGCCATGGACTGAACGTTATCCCAAAATTCAGTGTGATGTTACCTGGAGGTGGGACTTTAGGAGGTGATTAGGTCATGAAGGTAGATCCTCACAAAGGGATTAGCACCCTTATAAGAGGCCCAAGGAAGCTTGTTTTCCTTCTACCAGGAGAAGACACAGCAAGAATGCTCTGTGAGGAATGGGCCCTCCACACAGTACCTCCAAGTGAGAAACAGAGACATTTTCTGTTGCTTACAAGTACCTGGTCTATGGTATTTTGTTACAGACTAAGACAGTTTCTAATGGCTAAGAAAAAATTATGTATTTGTGTGTGTGTGTGTGTGTGTGTGTGTGTGTGTGTGCGCGCACGCGCGCGCGCACACATAAGAGCAAGCGAGAGTGCACAAGAGACCAATAAAAGAGAATCAAATGTTAGGAACAGGACAATTGGACAGTTGGTAGACCATTTGTCCAGCATGTGTAAGGTCCTGGGTTTGATTTCAGTACTTGGGGCAGGGTGGGAGAATTTGAAGAGGCATTTTTATTTTTATAACTTGTCTCTAAGTGGATATAATTTCCAAATTAAAAGTTTTCAAAGTTACAGTGGTTACTTAAGTATGGGTATTTTTGTCATATTTGAATTTTTCAGTAGAAGCATGTGTTTAATATGATGAAACTATTAATTGAGCTATTACAATCATGCTGTGAGTCTGCATCAGGACAGATAAGACATATGGTGCCCTAAGACTGATACTCTTCAACAATCCTCTCCCCAGAGTGAATTCTACAAAGCTCAGACTTCAGGAGGGCAGGGCCCAACCCTAACAGGGAGGGCACAGCACTCCTCCCCGACCCCAGTCCTCAGCAGGATAGAAATTCTGTGTGAATCAAATCTGCCTTCCCACGGGCAATTCTAGAGCCTTTGGTTATTATTCCAGTATGTTCCGTGGGGGCTCCTCCTCTGCCCAGAAGCTTTTGTCACCCTCTGAGGACAGTTCCAAAGGGAACTAATGTTCCCTGTGCTCATGGCTGTCTCAGTCCCTACAGACAAAGAAACTTTCTGGCTTTATCTGGCCCTGATACTGATAAAAACTGGGAGTCTTTTTTTCTTTTTGACAGTACTGGGGTTTGAACTCAGAGCCTGTGCTAGCTAGGCAGGAGCTCTATCACTCAAGCCATGCCTCCAGCCCCAAATGGGAGTTTTCCATTGCCTTCTCTTCACTTTTCTGCAAACGTATTACATATTGTAATAAGAAAAAAAATCTTCAAAAAAAAGTAAACAGCATGACTGGTTAAAAATAGTTTACCAGAGAAGCTGCAGGCCTTGGGTCCAGAGGCCCAAAGACACTGACAGAGAATCCCAGGCAGGGAAAGGCCAGAGGACAGTGTACATATAGCCCAGGACTCTGGCCACAGGTATGTTCCTGGGCAGGATGTTCATCCCTGAAAAACATATTTATATTTTAGGTAGTGCTCTGGACAGGGATTTGACTTTACCTCTTTCTATCACACCCAAGAAAGCAGCAAGCAAGTGGCACTACTAATTTATAAAAACATACATCTTTGCAAATTCCTTTTTTCTCGTTTTTTTTTTTGTTTGTTTTTTTAGTGGCACTGGGGTTTGACTCAGGGCCTTACACTTGCTGGGCAGGCACTCTTACTGCTTGAGTCACTCCTTCAGTCCCATCTTTGCAAATTCTGTACTTTATTCTTGTCACCAAACTGCTGATGGTATGTTACAACTGACTGAGACACACAAACCATGGTTGGTTGGTCCAGCACTGCTCCTGAAACACGGGATGTGACTGGAGGCAGAGTCAAGCTGTTTGTGTTTTTTAATTCGCAACATTTACTACAGGCAAGATATTCTCTAGTACTTGTAATGGACTTATAATTCTTATGTTGAAGCTCTCACCAAACACTGGAGATGGGGCCTTTAGGTAATTAAAGTGAAAGGCTGTACCAGCAGAGCCCTCAAGTGATGGGACAGGTGTCCTATTAAAGGAGGACCTACTGTGGAAAACAGATTCAGAGAAAAGCCAGCCCCAGAAACCACATCTGTGGATCGTGGTCTGATGCTTCCAGAACCGGGAGAGAGTGAAGCTGCTGTTTAAGCCCCAGCTTGCCGTGTTCTTTCCAGCAGCTAGAACAGACTGACATGACACCCAATCCACACTTCGATGTGGACAGTGGGGTCAGAGTGTGGCTGAGAAACCTGCCCACATAAGCAATAGGACTGGAACCCAACATGCTATTTTTATAATTGTAAAAATCATAAAAACAGAGATCTGCCAATTCCAACTCCACTAGGCCCCTTTGAGCGGAAGGCCTGGCAGCCTTGTGAGTTGTTATGTTGTCCGTGTCATCCATTCCCCATCCCCCCCCACCACCTGCAGGCAGCACTGGACCAGAACCGCAACACCCAACAGAGCTTCCAGTAGTCCTACGCTCAGGCAAGGGGGCTTGCAAATTACTAGTATCACTAGTATTTTCTTTCTAATTCCAAAAGCAAGACAAATGTAAAATACTGAAATTCATTCTTTTTCTATCATACTTTTGTAGATTATACCTGATGGCTCATCTGTTAACTGACATAATGCATTCCACACATTCCCATCTGACTCCCTTTTTTGTGGATGTAGTTTCAGTGTTCTCCTGGCCCACCCTGGCCCTTTGCTCATTTTCTTCCCCACCCCATCTCCTTGGATTTTTGTTTTTTAGACAAGGTTTTATTATGTAGCTCATGGTAGTCTTGAACTCGTGATCCTCCTGCCTCAGCCTCCCAAGTGCAGGCAAGTGCTGAGATTACAGTATGTACCACCACATCTGGCTTCATTTGCTTAATTAACATATTTTACTCCTCACATTTTACTTCCTTTTCATTTTTCTAATCATGACTATTTTCCTGTATCTTAACAACTCTGGAAAAACATTCCACTTTTAATATTGGTGGTAATTTTTTTTTCTTGGTAGTACTGGGATTTGAACTCAGCACCTGATAGGCAGGCAGTCTATCACTCGAGCCACTCCTCTAGCCTTTTTTCTGTGATGGGTATTTTCAAGGTAGGGTCTCAAACTATTTGCCCAGGCTGGCTTCAAACCTTGATCCTCCTGATCTCTGCCTCCTGAGTAACTATGATTACAGGCGTGAGCCACAGGCACCTGACTTAATATTGGTGGTAATTTTTTAAGGGTAAATATCCTCTTTCCAGGATTCAAAATATATGTCCAGGTGGCCCCAATTATGGAGATAAAGTCATTCTCCAGAAGTGGAGATAAGGATCCACAAGGATACATCATCTGCAAAAGTAACCCAAGACTATCTCAGAGACGGCTTGTCAAGAAATTGCTTAAAAACAAAACAGCCAACATCCTGGGGCGCTTCCTCCCACAGGTTCTCTACAGGGCAGGGACCACCTGACCCTCAGGGTGGGGGTATACTCAGTTCCTTCTCACCAAGTTAGCAAGCAAGCCTGCTGCTGGTTTGTTCTAGTCTGGCTGCGGGAATGAAGATCCTGACCAATGCCAGGACACAAACAGCATCTATCCAGGCCCTGCCAGCATCCTGAGAGGCATGAGGCCTGCAATGGCCCACTCTTCACTTCTCTCCATAGAAGATGAGGCAAGGCTAACTCTCTTTGTCCTTTTCCCCTTTCTTTCTTCCTCCTTATTTTTTTTTCTGAGTTGCTCAACAGAATTACCTGAGGAGATTTTGTACTACTACCTGGAGATTCTGATTCAAAGATCTGAGTCTATTTACTGGGGTAAATCACATCTTTGTTTCTCTGCTGACCCACCTGAGAATGGAGTCTCTGGACACTGTCCATCGATGCCCAGAACAAGCAGGGAAAAGCTGGGGAGCAGACCCAGGTCTCCCAGCAACAACTCTGGCTCCTTTGTTGGGTGGTGCCAAAAGACAAGAGGGCACACAGGAAAACAACTGAAGCAGAAGCCTGAGAGATGAGCACAGGTGTAACTGCTGGCAATCTCAGAAACAAGATGAACACAGGTATACTGCTCACCAAGCCAACAACAGGTCATTAACTGCTTATGTAACAAGGAGCACCTCCATGCTTTCAAGTTCCCTTTCCCTTCTGCCAGGCATGGTGGCACACACCTGTAATTCCAGCTCTGCAGAGGTACAGGTAGGAGGATTGTGGTCTCGGGACACCCTGAGTAAAAAACAGACCCTATCTGAAAAATAACTCCAAACTAGAGGCATGGAACAAGTAGTAGAGCAGCTGTCTAGCAAGATGTGGCCCTGAGTTCAAACTTCAGTACCAACCAAAAAACAAAACAAAAAAAGGAAGCCTGATGCTCCTTTCCTCCTTTGGTGCTAGCCAGGGAACCTCACCCAGTTACCACCCTAAGTAAAAGCAATACCCCCAAGACAACTGCTGTACCCAAAAAGTTTCACTCTATGAGAAATAAACATCTTACGCCTCTCTTGGTGTATGTTGTGGGTTGAACTGTGTGCACCTAAAAGATATATTCAAGTCCTGATCCTGATACTGTAAATACAACCCTACTTGGGAACAGACTCCTTGCAGGTGTAGTTATTAAGATGAGGTCAGTATATATGGGTACAGTGGGCCTAACTATAATCCCAGCAATGGGGAGGAGGAGGCAGCAGGGTCTGGAGTTTGAGGCCAACCTGGGCTACATAAGTGAGTTCCAGGCCAGTCTGGGATACATAGTGAGACCCTGTCTCAAAAACCACAAAACAGCCAGGCGCTGGTGACTCATGCCTGTAGTCCTAGCTACTCAGGAGGCAGAGATCAGAAGAATAAGGGTTCAAAGCCAGCATTGGCTTTCAACCCTATCTCAAAAATACCCAACACAAAAAAAGGCTGGTGGAGTGCCTCAAGTGGATGAGCACCTGCTTAGCAATGTAAGCCCTGAGTCCAAACTCCAGAACCACCAACCCCCTCCCCCCAAAAAAAAACCATTCTAGGGCAGGGTGGGCCCCTAATGCAATAACCTTGTCCTTATGAAAAGAGGGACATTTGGATACTTGAGGAAGAATGCCATGTGACCATAGGGCACAGGCTACAGCGATGCATCTGCAATCCAAGGAAATCAAGAATCACAGCAACCACCAGAGGTGGGAGAAGGGAAGGCCTGGATGGGACCACCCAAGTCTCCAGACAGGGAACCAGCCTGCTCATACCACCTTGTCTTTGGACTTCTGGCCTCTAAAACTGTGAGAGAATTATTAAAAAAAGCTACCTAGCCTGTAATACCTTGTGACAGCAGCCATGGTAAACTAACAAAGTGAATGTATACATACTTCCCTCTTCACAGGGCTCTCTTCCTGTGTGCCTGAGGCTTCTCTCCTTATAAGGACACCTGTCATGTTATCCCAGGGCCCACCTTAATCCCCAATGATCTCATCCTAATTACATCTCCAAAGACCCTATTTCCAAAAAGGTCCCATTCATGAGTACTGAGGCTAGGACTTCAATGTAGTTTATCAGGAGGGCACAACTCAACACTCAGTAACATCTAGCCAAATCTGCAGTGGGGCATCCCACTGCTAAAGGCAACCATACCTGAAAAGCTTAAAGCCTGCTGTGCAGCAATGGAGAATTCAGCTGAAACAATGTACATGAGAAGGTTCAAATGACACACAAGGACAAAATGCTGCTAGAAGAGGAGGCAGAGTGACCACCTGGGCTCTGGGATGATTGTTATCGAAACATCTCAACCCAAGTATGTTCTGAGGAGAGAATGATTCTAACAAGACACCAGCCTCCATCAAGACAGCATATGCATTAGCCATTCAAGAGGAAACAGGGCATTCAAATGCAGTCCTAGTCCTGTAGATTAGTCCACACATGCTAATCTACAAAATGAGGCTGGCCATCCCTGCCATACACACCTTAGGAGGTTGCTACAGGATCCAAAGAGACCCACCGCCATTAAGCAAGTCTGCAGTCTCGTGGGCTCACCACACATGGCTGTAAAGGTAAAGGACACCAATGTCCACTCTAGCTCACACTCAACAAGGTAAGAGGAAATGACAATAAGTGATAAAATCTTTCAAAAATATACAGGATATGAAAGAAGTTAAGTGCCATGGAAAAAAGCAAGTGGGAGGAGAAGGGGGTAGGCTTGCAGAGAGTAGAGCATGGAGCAGGGCAGATGCTGTCTGAGGGATGTCCCAGGGGCCTGCTGGAGGGGAGTGAGTGTGAGCACAGGCCTGGGAGGTGGGACCAAGCCATGTGCCTACTGGGGACAGTGTGGCTGGCAAAGCCCAGCAAAGGTCCCTGGTGTTTAGAGGTCAACAGGGAGACTAAGTGCTATAAACCACAGAAAAGACTTTGGCTTTCCCTCTGGAGGACAGGGACCTTCATTGTTGATATCACTGGCTAAAGATTCAGACCTGAGAAGCAAGAACTAGATGTAATGGGACATGGCTGGGCTCTCAAAGTATCTGTGAAGGATTTCAACAGATAGGAAGGACAGAGTGTGGGAGAAAGACAGAAGCCAAGGGCAACTCCAAGTTTTTGGCTAAAATAGGCACTCTTATCTCAACAGGGAAGGTTGTGGGTGAAAAGCAAGACACCAGGGGATCATGAGCAAATCAGCATGAACTTGCTGACCAAAAGCACACAGCCCCCACCTTGGGTTTGCTGATATGGGCTGTAAAGGCCTGCGGGCCAGGGGAGTCAACACTACTTGTGTACTGGGGAGACCACTGGCAAGAACGTTTCCAAAGTCAAAGGCTCTACAGCCCCTCCAATACCAAGGCTGAGCCATATCAAAGACAGAATCAACCAGCACCTTATCCATAACAGAAAGAAACTATGGTGTAGACAGACCTTGAAAACCCGGGAGATCATCTGGAAGTTTATTGCAAAGAATGAGAGAATTCAGTTAAGTTGGAGATGTACAAAATTAAAATAAAAAACTAATTACCTTCTTATATACAAATGGGTTAGAAATGTGGAAGGAAAACTTTTATAATGCACAAAAAATTAAAACTGTATGTAAAAGATGTGTAACACTTACATGAAAGAGTTCTCAAATACTAAAGAATACAAAGTGCTAGGGGTATAGCTCAGAGGTAGAGTGCTTTGCCTCACATGAGGCCCTGGGTTCAATCCCCAGCACTAAACCCAAAACAATAATGACAACAACAAAAAGTTGTTTAATAAGCAAAAGGACACATCCTAGTCTGGAAAAGAAGCCTTCTATGACTTTCAAGTTAATTTTCCCTAAGTTAACCAATAAGTGAATTTAGGTTCAAAAACAGAATCTGTAGAGAAGTATTCATATAGTAACAATTAGGAAAATTCTGAAAAAGAACAGAAATGGCCAGGCATAGCAGCATGTGTCTATGATACCTATAATCCCAACACCTGGGAGGCTGGTGCAGGAGGATCAGAAATATGAGGCCAGCCTGGGCTACATAGTTGAGACCCTATCTCAAAAGCAAACAAACAAAAAACCCAACAGTGACGAAGGACACAATTTGCCAGATAATAACACCTAATAATTTAATAAGTAATTTACAGTAATCTAAAGCTACACTACTAATTCATGAATATACACTGAGGTCAGTAAAGGGAGATTCCAGAAATAGGCCCACGTACAGCGGGAAATTTCATCTTTGATACAGGTGGCTTTGAGTATGCGGCAATTATTCAGTTGTAACAATCTAAAAAAATAAAGGTAAATTCCCACTACTCCTTTCACCAAAATTAATACCAACTAGATGTAAGATTACAAACAAAACAAAAAATGCACTAAAAAACTAAAGATCTCAGAGTAGAGAATGCTTCATGAAGGCAAAAGGCAAAATGATCAACTAAGGGAAATGTCTAATACAAATGACAGGGGCTCGTTTTCTTATAAACATCTACAGATCCACAAGAAAAAGCTGGGACTAAGGATGTAGCTTGGTGGTAGAGTGTATGCCTAATACTGGCAAAGCCCAGGGTTCAACTCCCAGCACTACAAAAAAAAACTCTGAGATACAAAACATAAACCAAAACAATAAAGAACATCTCTAAAATAATTTGAGATTTAGAACAAAACAAGGACAACAGAGGCAAACTCCTGCCCACGCCCTGGAGGATGCACTCAGGGAATGATGCTTCAGGAATGGATGAAGAACTTGAGTTTTCATTTAGGTCCTTATTACACCTTTGAAATTTGTACTATGTGCATATATTACTTACTTTTTAAAATAAAGCAATTAACAGGAGCTGGGAGTATTGCTCAATGCTAAAACACTTCCCTAGTATGTATGAGACCCTGGGTTCAATGCCCAAAACTGGGGGGGCGGGGCAGGGAAGGCAACAATTTTATTTTAAGAAGTCGTAATACAGCCAGGCACCGGTGGCTCACGCCTATAATACTAGCTACTCAGGAGGCAGAGATCAGGAGGATCGCAGTTTGAAGTCAACCACAGTGCATGTGCTCTGTGATCAGACCAACCACAGCAATTCTGAAAGGAGTCATTTTACGTCAAGTTTTACCTTAAAGTGCTTATCTGGGCCTCAGTTTCTTCATCTGTGAAAGGGAGCCAACAGTTCCTACTGCACAGGCTTACTCTGAAGAATAGCTGACACCGTATAGAAAAGCACTCAGAATAAACAGGTCCTGATAATACACTTGTTGGAAGCATTCCCTAGGACCGTAAGGTTCTTGGAGGTTCTGGGTCAGAGGCCTCCAGTGCTGAGGTGGGCTCTTGTTTCTACACAACCATAAAGATTAAGTCAAGTCTGGAAAGCTGCTCTGCGGAGACAGTGTGTTCCAGCCTATTCCACCCCTGCTAAATTTCTGAGTACACCAGTGCACAAATCCTAGATTCATGAGGGGCTACCACAAGGCCTGGGTCCTGCAGGCAAAGCCATATATGTCCCTTATACAGCGGCCACAGCAGCTCCTGAGCAAAATCCTGTTGATTTCTCCCAAGAACAATATAAATCTTGTTTGAGCTCTTTAGTGCCTCCTCCTCCAAG